GGACATACAGTGAGTCTCAAACATCATTATTTTCTGCTTCTTACTTCGTTTTTGAAAAACACCCCTGAAAAACAGGCGAATCTCCACATAATACCGACTCTGACGTAAAAGTCAGGATCATTAATATGTATGACTCCAAATATTTGCATGCCAGCCCATGTTCAGTGACAGACGAGACGGAGCTGCGCAGTCGAAGCATGGCCGTTGAGTGTTCGGATGTACACGTGAACACAAAAGTATTTTTAGTTCCTTCGTCCGAGCCTCTGAAACAATGGATTAATTTTATTTTCTATTTCTTTTACTTAACTCTTTTACTAACTCTTTGAAACTTCTTAAAACAAACCGTGTCAAAATATATAAAAATAAATTATTTGCTAAAATAATGACAAAGCTCAGAAATCAGAAACAAAATAAGAGCAAGGGTTCAATAATGACAATTATTGTTTAAAAATATTATTATTTCTCAACTTTCTCAACGTGTAACTGTCCTCAAAATCTTTATTTTTATTATTATTATTGTAACAGACTTTTTTGGATTGTAAATGACATAATCCAACAAAGTCTGTTAACACCGGTAATGATGTACTAGCATTTGTTGTATGTGTATGCAATGTATTTTTCCCCTCGGGGCTTGCCGTAGATGGGTCATGCGCACTTGGTATGGTCGCGGGATTTTGGAGATCTGATGTGTGGTATAATAATAAAGTGAAGAAGAGTTAAAACTGCTGTTTTTATTATTTATTCAAACTGCAAACAAAGGTATGTGATATTATAAGTAATAACTATACACAAAAATAACATTGTCAGATTAGATAAATCATGTAGGTTCCAGTTTAAAGCTGGTGCGTTTCTAGTGTAATGTTAACTTCTCTCTACCAATCAGATGCTCCGGTGATGAGTGAAATATATGAAGCGAATGGTGATTATTCAAACATGAAATGGGAAGGTTTAATGGTTTAACCTAACTATGACTCTGGGTTTGACTTGCTGGCAAAACTGTATATCTTCTTTGTCGCGCTTTAAAAATAAAAGTTCCAAATGTACAGTTTTTGTTCCTGTGGTAGGTTAGGTATGGATTTTTTTGGGTGGGACACATGCCGCATTTTTCCATATTGAGGGGGACACGTCCCCGGTTCCTACGCCAGTGTCTGACCTCATAGAAATTATCTATGCAGAAAAAAAATTTGGATCCAAAATGAGTTAATTAGTTTGCCTGGACTGTGTTTTATTCTCCATTTTTACAAAAAAGCACGGCCTGCTGGGAAATCTGACGAATCATTTTATTTCTCATCGTGACGTTTTCTGATATAACCTACGTCCTCGAATGTTATTGCTAGGTTTGTCTTTCTGAGAGGTGGCACCGTTAATGCACCGTTAAGTTTGCCAACTGCCATTAAAACACAAAAATAAGTTTTTCTGAGAGTGTCTAACTTAATTGTTAACAGCCAAGCAACTGCAATGTTCAGCAATCCAAATAGTGGTGCTCAAAAATGAAAAAGATAAGCTGCAGGTTGTGGCATCAGTGATTGACACTGCTAGATGATGGCTAGCTGGGAGCATACAAATCAAGCGAGTGTTTAAATGGTCGGTCAAGGTGTAAAATTAAGCTCATAATGGTGTCATTTTCACGAATGTGTGCCTGCAATTATCAGCGCTTTAACGGCATAGCGGCTAAAGCTAAGACCAAATGGCCGAGACCAAAACCGGGGACTCCCAAAATTTTGGAAAAAACGGGGACATTTTTAGTTTGACTGTAAATCTGATTAAAATACATCTTCAAAAAAAAAAAAACAGGGACAGGGACAGGTAACAGTTTTTCTGAATTTTCCCGGAGGCAACCAAAATGACAACCGCGGGGACGTCTGGGCATCCTAAGACTAACTAATTACCTTTTAAAATTCAGCACATTAACGCAAATATATGCCATTAAAAAGTTGGTTTGGTTATCCTAATCGGGTCTATTCTGTGCTACACCCTATTTGTATAGCGCAGTAGGGCTATAGCAGATGCGTCTTTAACACACTTTGATTCGCAAATACTATAACAAGCCTGTAACTGCTATCTATAAAGCAAACAGCATTTCACTTGCACTTTTAAGTAATACAGTAAATTAGAATAAACACATACAAATATATGTACATAATAAACACATAGAATAAACACATAAAAACTTACGTGTGGTAGCCTAGCAGGTCAGTTAAATCTGCGTTGAGCTTGGTTTGATGATGATATCTTTTTTTTTTTTTTGGGCGCTTCTGGCTGAAGTCCGTAGTACGGATGTGGACCGTATCTGCAAGACGACAGTCAAGCGAGACCCAACGTTCACTTGGCGCTGTCGTGAAACGGACCTAAAACGGAGCTCAAACTGCTGTGCTGTAACGGACCAGCATCACAAAATTTTGCTGTATAGTTTTTAAACACTAATAATATTGCTCAGCTTAATGACAATACATTTATCTCATGCTCTAGATAGAAAAAAATATGCAGACAACCATGTTGTTTTGAAAATGTTTATTGCACGGAGTTCTTACAGTTTGAGAAAAGTATTTCGGATGTGGTCCACATCAGGTAGTCTCTGTCAAAACAGTGTTGGCTCAAATTCGTTTTGCAGATATGGGCCAGAACATTTTTTAGCCCTTTTTAAAATGCAGTCGGCTCAGATATGTATCACAGATTCGGGCCACACCAGTGTGAAAACAGTATCGGCTCAGATTCATATTGCAGTTCTGGACCAAATCAGTGTCAGACACAGCTTGTCTTTCGGTTACATATCGGAAAAGTGATCTGGGCCAGATCTGTAAAATGGTATAAATACTGAACTGATGGCAGTTAGAATGTTTAAGCTGAAACTTATATCTGGTACGGATCTGGTTCACAATCAGAAAACGTCTCTAAGATAGAAACGGAGGCAAGGGGCTTAAAACGGATCCGGGCCAAATGTAATTGCTATCTGGGTAGAGAACCACATGAAACCTACAATGGGGAGGGGGATTCAGATGACTTCTGGGAGACTCAAAACTGGCTTGTTGAAAAGTAAGTTTATTACTGGAGGTGTTTTCTTTCATGAAACATGACAGTTCTGCACAAGAGTGTACAGGATTGCTAACTCAATATCCAGTGTGACCCTCTATATAAGGATCATGGAGCAGACACAGAGGAGAGGACACAGAGATGTGATGCAGGTTTCACTCCGACCATGACTTGAGGGATATTGTGGAAAACACTGTTTCTATGAGGTCAGTGCCGATCCTGACCTGCCTGGGGCCCTAAGCAAAATTCTGCTAAGGGGCCCTCTACCTCAGGAGACAAACAAGCCTTCTCTCAGATCAATCTAGAAGAATATCAGCGGATGAGTGTCATGAAGCCAGTCTGGGTCACATTTCACCCCCAAATCAACACACATTTTATGTTACATTTAACAATGGTTTAAAAACAGGCTTTGTTGTGACATCATTTTCATCAGCTTTACACAAAAAACAGCCGTGCTCGTAGGACATGATGATCCTCAGTGGATAATATTAGAGAGTGAACGATGAGGTGTTTTTGTCGTCAGAAGAGTGTGTGTTGGAGGATCTTTCTCGACTACAAAGCCGAGTCTCAGAGCTCAGAGTCCGAGCTCAGGCAGATGCTGAGATCCAGATGCAGACCAGAACATTTCTAGAGGAGTGTGTGTGTCCAGATCATGTTCACAGATGCTGATGCTCCTGTTCAGCGTGTGAGTCCATCACTTCTTCCTTCAGGCTGTGCGGTGAGGCTGACGGAGGCTCAGGATGAGCTGGAAAACTCCCAGAAGAACAGCAAGACTGACGAGTTCGAGTCCTTCAAACTGGAGGAGGCCTGTGTGATCGTCCACGGCTTCTAAATATTATATATCTTTTACAAATGTAACAAATATTAACTATTTAAACTGTGGCTTTTGCATTCGGCTCAGTATTGCCCTGAAAGTGAACTGTAGCTTTACCAACAACACATATAATTATGTTGATGTTTCCATCTATTGCTTAGATTTGTGTCAAATTAATTCTGTAAAATATATTTTCTACACACACACATTTTATCTTTCCCACAAAAGTCCATATTTCAATTTTTTGCTGCCATCTATTGATGATCCATTGCATGAAAATATTGCATGTTATTTTTTCATATGGAAGTAAAAGTTTATTAATGAAATGTTTATAAACAAAATATTAATTTTATTGAGCGATAATGATGTTTTGTTGGAAAAATGAAGGTTTCATAAATTTAGACTGTAAAAGTGAATGTTTTCATGAATATGTTTTTGTATAATCAATAAAAGTGTGGCAACAGATTACAAGCAACATTATTAATTAAATTGAACAAATTAGTATTTAGTAATAATTAATCAAATTATTCCTTATAATTTGATTAATTATTATATTAATCTAACCTTATTATAAAGATTAATGACGAGATTAATTAAGAACTCTTTATTTTCTATTGCCAACATTGAAGACATCTGATGTTAACAAGAGAATCACTGAAGGAGAAATCTAAAACAAACACCGATCACCATAATGGCGACTTAAATATAAGGTTTTTTTTTGTAAGTTTTACTAATTTAAATGGTTTTGTCACGGTGCGGGCTCAGGCAGAAGGAACAGGCAGAGTCCAGAAAAGCTCCAATACAAAAGGTTTAATATCAAATAAACAGGAAACAGGCAGGCGGAACACAGGGTAACATTAACATTGACCGACCAAACTGAATCAAACTGGACTGAACTAAATACACAGAGGAATCAGGGTTAATGAGGTGAACACAGGTGAAAAAGATAATGACAGGACGAGGAACAGGTGGCTGATTGGGGAGTGAGTCCGGGAGAGGAACAAAAGGATCCGGGGAAGTGTGGTGCAGATGACGGGACAAAACAGGTGAGGACGACAGACTGTGACGGGTTTATTTTTAAGGAATTAATTTGAATAATTATTACTCAATTCTAATTTGTTAAATGGAATGAATAAAATTGGTTTTGATTAGATAAAGCACATTCATTTTTACAGTGGACTCTTTTGAGAAGTCATGAGTTAGAAGTTTAAAATGAATAAAATTAAATCCATTGAAGTCAATGAAGTTCATACTGGTAATTCTCTTATTATGTTCTAATGAATTTCATCTAGTGATATATTCAAATAAATGTCTCATATTGATACAAATGTATCTTGTCTTGCATCACAAGGTTTTTGCTCTAGTTCCTGAACAAATTAGACATTTCAAAGAATTTCTCAGTTTTTAATTAATAAAAAGGGGTTAAATGAAGTGATAGCATGTTAAAAACGTGACATTCTAAACTTTAAAACTTTTGTGCATTCACTCATTAATGAGCAGTTACTGATTAGATGTAATATGGTTTCTGATGAATAATATTAAGTTATGAGTGTATTATAATCTCACGTTCCTCCGGGTCCAAACACAGTAAATGATGAAGTGAAGCTCATGATGGAGGACATGATCCTCTGAGCTTTTACTTTACTTACAGGAACAACATTATGATGATCAACTTCAGTGAAAATATGATGTTATATGTAATAATTCAAATCCGATGAAGTAAAACTGTGTGAATGTTTACAGATTTAATGCTGATCTCTGATAATCTGCTGTTTTCTGTTTATGAAATGATAAATGATCAGAACGGATGTTCAGTGTAATATTTGTAAATGAGGTGAATATGAAATAAAGTCTGAATTGATTATTACTCTTTGTTAGTGTGTGTTTGACTGTAATCTGTTTTGTCAGCATTGTGTTTTTGATAATTAGATGTTTATGGATGTTTAAACTGATTCATTGATTAATATTACTCAGTTCTTGAATCTATAATTACACATTGAAATAAAGTGTTTTTGACTTTGATGATGTCACAGACTCGTTTACTTTCCTGTTCAACAGTTCTTCTGAATCAGATTCAATCAAACTCTCATTTGATGAAGATTCATAAAGTGATTCAGTCAAAACTGGACATTAAAAAGCAAACGTGTAAAAACAGTGAAACTCAGGGTGACAAACGTTTATCATCAATGAAAATAACAGTCAAACATCAACAACTGAAGAAACATGTTCACACTGAACCAGGAACAAGCGCTTATTGACCATAAACTACAATAACATCATTAAACTGGAATAAAACATGTCAATTAACAGAGAAATACTGGAGCTGACAGAAGATTCATATTCATTTACATATTCATATTCAGTCTTGTTTTTAGACTGTTATCTAGTCTGTTTTATTTGTAGTTTATGTAATAAAGTGTGCTGCACTTGGATCAAGCCTCTTCACTGCTTCCACAACTGCACCAGCGTTACAGTGTGTGTGTGTGTGTCTGGTTTGTGTGTGTGTCTATTTATTTCAAAAATTAAAATTGAGAAATTGTTAAATGTTTCCTCATTTTCTTTGAATCTGACACAGAGACACTGAAGAGTTAACAGTATAAAGTCTAAATCCAGCATAAAGTGGTTCAGTGAATGTGTGTGTGAATGTGTGTAAGTGTGTGAGTGTGTGTGTGTTAGAGATGCTGTAGAAGGTCAGAGTGCCGGCCGACTCGTCTACAAACACTCCTACCCTCTTATAGGATCCTGAATCAGCAGAAACAGCAGTGGAGATACTATTGTGAAGGACAGAGAGACTGTGACCAGAGCAGCTCAGACTCCAGGACTTCTCATTATATCCAAAATCACAGTCATCACTCCCTCCTTTCCTCTTGATTCCTTTATATGACACTGATATTTCAGCAGATCCACTCCATTCAGCCTCCCAGTAACAGCGTCCAGTCAGACTCTCTCCACACAGAACCAGAGGATACACATCAAATCTGTCTGGATGATCAGGATACGACTGACTCTCTCTCACACACGTCACCTTTCTGTTCTCCTCAGACAGAACGAGACGAGTGTGTGCTGTGTTTGGATTCAGTGTGAGATCAACAGCGTCTGAACACAAGAACACACATTACAACAGCAACATTTACAACAACACACACTAAAACTGTGTTTGAGGACTTACATCTGTGTAGTCTTGATGTCATCATGAACTCTTTAACTTCTGAACCGTGATCCACACTAGAACACACACACACACACACACACACACACACACGCACACACACACGAATGTTAATTGACAACAACAGCTCATATCAATATATTTTAACAAATATAAAAAAACCTTAAATAATGTTTAATTATGACACACGTCAAACTTTTTTGCACTTTTTACACGTGAGAAGTGTGTTCAACATGGACTCTCAAGCGGTTGCCATGGTAATGAACAACACCTGCAGTAACAGCAACAATTTATTTATTCAATACATTTAATTTATATTCTTTCTTTCTTCTCTTCTTTCTTTCTACTTTTCTTTCTTTCTTTCTTCTCTTCTTTCTTTCTTTCTTTCTTTCTTTCTACTCTTTTTTCTTTCTTCTCTTCTTTCTTTCTTTCTTTCTTCTCTTCTTTCTACTTTCTTTCTACTGAACCCTGATGTGAATCATGACTG